ATTTCTTTTAGCGTTATGTGCATGTCAGTTAAATATTTTGCAAGTAAACAGCAGCAGGTTCTCAATGACTACACAGTGTTCTTACTAAAAGAAGTAAGCACAGAATATTAGCTTCTCCCTTACTAATGCTATTTTCTCCTCGAGTCTTTGGAATAGATAAGATTTACTGTACATTTAGCTTTCATCCACTGCTTATGAATTCTAGTACTGGAGGGATCACATCACACCGTGGACTGATGTGACCTCTACCAAAAAAAAAAAAAAAGTTTCAGCCATAGCAGAGTTGATTTGATTTCAAATCAAATTCACAGATCACAGCAAATACTTACTTCCACTGAGAGCTCTACTCAACTGCTCCATCTTCTCTTTGGCAGTTTTTAGAAGGCGCTGTTCTAACTAGAAAAAAAAAATAAATAAATCACAGTAAGATAATTATTTTGGGATTAATAAAATAGAAACAAAAATCAGCAAAAATGGCTTGACACATACCTGGTAGCTAAGTTCATGGTTCTTAAATCTTGTGTAATAGTGCATAAACCTATCAAGCTCTTGAAATCTTCTATGCTTCTTTTCAGCCTGGAAAATAATGGGGAAACAAAAGAAACCAAGATAAATCTAATGATTTGATTTAGCAATCACCATTAGATATAATTATATAACCGTTTCTATTCCCACTATACATAAAGTATTGTACACAGAGCTGATGAGTGCCATGTAAGTAGACAAATGTAATTTTTGAAATTCACAAGCCTGCAAATAGCATAGCCGAAGAGTTGATACACTGTGTGTGCATGCTATTTAACCAGACTTTCCAAATGCCAAAATTAAGGCATGCGTTTTGTAGTGCACAGCAACTAATTACAGTGCCAGCACACCCATTTCACAAAGGGAAATCATGGCACAGAGAAGTAAAATGACTTGAGTAAAGTCACCAGTGGTTGTTACCAAGGCCAAAACCAGAACCAAATTTTATGTGTCTTTCCACAAATAAGCAGTGTTTACTTTCTGTCTCTTTCATATATATAAGGTTGTATCTTTCCATTTAGAACTCAGGTTTGGAAGAATTTTGATGGAACTTAGCCTAAATAGAAAATTGTGGCCTTAGTGCTATTTTTCAAACATACACATTCATTTGTTACCTCTACTGTCATCTCCTTGGACTGTTCCTCTACATGTTGAATGACCTCATAGCGAGTGCATCTGTAGTAGCCACCAGTGGAAGAGCTGTGCTTCTTCCATTCTTCTAAGCATATCCAGCAAAAGTCATATTTGCACTTCAGAAAAAAAAGGAACAAGGGGGAAAAAAAAAGAAGTTGATACATTGTAGATTTGCAGTTATGCATCATTATTCCTCCATGAACAACTGAATTAACATAATTCTGAGTGTGCTTATGGTCAAAAAAATTTTTGAGGAGCCTCCTTCCTATTTTATCTACTACAGAAGATCTGGGTTATCAAACCATGTCAGTCATAATTTTTATTCCTTGGATCACAAGACTGCATTGGATCTACAAGTTAAGTATTAAGTGGATGAAATAAATCAAAGGATAAGCACAGCTGATCACGCCTGTTTTTTTGTTATTGTTTTAAAAAAAGACAGTCCCATTTTTTAAGCGACACAGAAACTGTTTACAAGAAAGAGTGAATTTTTTCCGAATATCACTTAAAAAAATGTGATTACTGGTATTTTTGTCATGTGGTGTTCCTAATGCAAAATATTAATAACAACTACTAAAGCAAGAGAGAATAAATCAGAACGTAAACTTTGAAGAGTGATTACTTCAAGGTGAGCCTTTTCTGCATTGACTGAGTAGAGAGCTTTCAAAACAGGTAACACCTTACAAAGAGATCTGACTTTTCCAGCCTTCTCTGCATCAGAGAAGATCAAACTGTATTAAATATTCTCAACTCAGCACTGAGTTCTCAGCTAGTTTATTTCAAAATAATTGGAAGCTCTTTATGGATGGATGGGCAAAAGACTTTATGACTTGGTGAATCCTGTTTATTTTATCTGTTTTACAGATGAGCAAAGAAAAATCCGGAAAAAACAAAGCAAAAATTCACATTAATTAATATGAAGCCATTAATATTATCATTGGAATTCGATAAATTAAGTTGCATTTTTTCTCTCTTTGATAAGTTTAACCTTTCCAGGAATACCTAGTCCATACCAGATGTGTTTATCGGTAGTTGTTTTATACAATCAATTAGACATATTACAGGAAGAAATGAAATCTAATTCTTGCATTGTACTTTTGCTAATTTTGTCTCATCAGTAGCGCTGATTTTCTTCTAAAAAGCAATGCAGACTAGGCTATTTCTTTTTGTTATTGTTCTGCACCTTCTTTGGTTTTAAGCATTTTTTTGAAGCTGCTTGCTTATGCAAAATGGTAAGATGAGTGCTGAGAATGAAGTATGAGAATAATTATGTATAAAAGTGTTAAGTGTGTATCACTACATCATTTGCCTATCATTCAAAACCACTCATATTCATTTTAAGAAAAAAGCCATTACAAAATATTCAAAAAATGCTATGAAACAAGTTGTTTTGCATGCAACAGAACTAATAAAGCTTGACTTCCTGTTAATTTATGTGTATATGCTCCTACCGCAATAATCTCAACTCTCCCAACTTATGTCCCTCCATGACCACTCCACTATCTGTCTTCGAATCTCTCACATCTCCAAAAGCCTCCTCAAAAACCCAAGATTCACCCAGTGTTCCCAGACCCTCCTCCAATACCTCAGTCTCATTCAACATTTGAAACCATGTCGTCTGTTTCTACACATCTCCCAAACCCGAGCTCTGTTTTGTGTGCCTTTATGATCACCTAGCCATGCAGCAGCACCACCTAGGCTTAACAAATCACATCAGCTGCCTGGCCACTGTCTGAGCTAAGCAGGAGAGGTAATTGCTAAGCAGGTAACTGCTGAGTAGGTATTTCAGCCTCTCTCTTGGTGGCAATACAAATTAAGTCTCTGCACCATTCAGCTACCAAGTTTCATGGAACTTGCAGTAATTTAATATCCATGAACCCCCTCCTGTTCCTTCATATCTCATTCAAAGTACCCAGAACGTTAAAAAACTACTACAGGTAGGGGAGTGAGAGAGCAGGACTGCTTAAGCCTTGTCTCCTTAGAAACTGGGCTCATAAAACAGTGATGCCTGCTTAAGTACAGAAACGTGATTTTATGAGTGAAGAGTATCCTCCTCTACAACCAAGGTACACGCTAGCTGCTAAGAGGCAGTCGTAGCTCACCATGTAGTAGGCTTGAGCAGACTTACTGCAGCAGAGGCAGAAGCTCTGTCACAGACCCTTACTTCAGGGGAGGAAGAGACAAGCGAGGTGTGCTGAGGGGAGACAGCTTCTGTTTGCAGAGATTTCTCCACCACAAAAGGAATCTGCCTGTTTCAAGGACACTTTAAACTGTTTGTAAGGTACAGCATCAAAGAATAAGAGAATTGTGGTTGTCAGCCAGTGCCTCAGAATGGTACTGAATTAAATTATCTACATTCAACAGTGTTTAATGGCCAGAGTCTTCTCCAGCTTGAAGCCATACTTTTGTTTCATTGAGATGAGCTCAGTGGCAAAAGCTGCAACAAGCATACCTTTTACAGTTTTTAGCACTGTGGAATTTATAAGCTCTTTTAAAAATCATTTAAGGAAAAAAAAAAAACCCAAACCAGCAAACTTGGCATAAACCAAAGTGGAGGAGAATCTGTTCTGTGCTGCCACAGACAAAACCAAAGAAACGACACCAAAAAAAGCCCCAACCTTCAGTTCATATCACAGAAAGAGAGAGAATACGTGATGATAATATAAAGAAAATGGGATCTGCATAGCAATGGAGAGAGACTAACACATTTCCAGAAAAATAAAGAGAATTACTTTCTAAATCTGTTAGCTTTTTACTGGATGTCAACTATGTCAAGTGTGTGCTACTTTCTAATTTTTAATGACGCTCCTCAAAGAGGTATTAGCTGTAGTTATAGAAGATATTTCTGACATAAAGAAACAGTATTCTAAATATGCTGCTTTTAACTAAATTGAGAGAAAAAGCATTCTCAAATGATACTGAACTCATGGCAAAAAATATTTTTTCTATTTCAGTAGCACAGTACAAACTCATGACTAAATTTTTGGCTGCTGTCACCAATAAGTTTCTTTTGGAATTACTCTTTGCTGTCTTTTCATTCCTACTGATTAATTCCTGTTTACAGTTTTCCATTTAAAACCTCTCTGTTTTGTTGCTATGTTAGAGAAATAATGCAAAAGAAAAATGCAGTAAGGTGAAACCTTCATTAGAGCTTACCATTCCTTAAAATGTTTCATCTTCTGCCAACTAAAAATGTGCTTTCTCTTCTACATTATTAATGATGATTAAGCTATCAATTATTTCTGTTTCCTTAAGTTTTATACTGTATTGCCAGTAATTCTTAGGTGTTTATGAAATTTTGATCATTACAGTGTTCACCTCCCAGCCAAACAGATTTCACTAAATATGAAACATTTTCTAAATATATGTAACCCACTATTTGTCAATTATTTAATTCTTGCAACAGGTTCCATTAGCTCTTAGTAATGACATTCAGAGGTTTTGGAAGTCTGTGCTCCTAAATATACATGACATACACAACCTGAATTATGGTTTCACAACAAGTTATATGAAGGGTCTTTCTCACCTTTGCACATTGCATGTGGTTGCAGCCCTCATTCTTCTGAATTGGAGATTTGCAGTTGGCGCATGGTTTGGAGTTTGTTAGTAACCACAGACAGTTGGCAGCATCTTCATATGCCTCGCTCACTCCCACAACTTTTTGAGGGTGACAGGAGGATATGGAAAAACAGAGAAGTTGAAATTGTACTTGCGTAATCTTTTGTGAAAATCAGATTAGGAAAGATACATGTTTACCTGTTTCTTGACAGAATATCTTAATTCTTCACTACATATTTCTCACGTATATAAATATATGCATTTTCTAACTTATACATATTATATATAATATTATTACATATATTATTTCTATATATT